TTATCTCGGAAAGACGTCTTTCCGAGATAAATTATCTCGGAAAGACGTCTTAATAAGTGTTTATTCCATGTTTCCAAGATAATTATCTTGGAAACTCGGAAACTCGGAAGGTCACTTTAAGCTTCCGTAGGTCACACTGCGAATAACAAAAGATATAATAATGAAAGTTTCTTGGAAATAACGACCAGTGACTCTCTATGTATCTATCAAGATAGTTCACCGGCGTGACGGGCAGTTGGTGTGACGATGTATTTCATCTGGCAATCATCTATCCCATTGGTGTTCATATTTTTATGGAAAACAGGCTAGTACATTTTGGCGCTATGCACTTTGCATCTAACTTTTAATTCCTAATTTTGCAGTTTTTTTTATTAACGTTTATGGAAACTTACTTATTTGCGTTTGTAGGCCTAGCCTAGGGGCATACTCATAGCCTAGGCCTAGATCGGAGCCTATCTTGTCATTTCTGTAATGGCGTTATATTGATTGGATCAGGGAGTTGTTATAGTAAATAATTGTATTATTGTATAGCCTAGGCCTAGTATATAACACAACTCCCTGATTGGATGTTGTTGTTTGATTATGAAGATGTGTGTTCACATGAAATTCACGTGTACAATATGATCCAAATGCGTACACAGATATGCAAATAAGTGCCTAGGCCCTAGGCCTAATCCAGCAAAACAAAGCGAATGTGGCGCCAGGATTACACCCGCCAGAGCCAGAGCCAGAGCATAGACTCTCGCCTCCCTGTCAAGAAAGATTTACATGGTTGTTTGTTGACCCACACAGTGACACAGCAGACCTGGATCGACACGATATGTTACGGTAGCAGGTCAACTCGGCCACAAGTCAACTCGGCCACAGTCAACTCGGCCACAAGTCAACTAGGCCACAAGTCAACTCGGCCACAAATCAACTCGGCCACAAAAAGTTTTCGGCTACAGTCGAAACTCGGCCACAAGTCAACTCAGGCACAAGTTAACTCGGCCACAAGTCAACTCGGCCACAAGTTATTTATAATATATAACAAGTTATAATAGGCCTAGAATAAAATAATTAAAATGAAATGTAAATATTACTCAGTTTTTGCATCCTTTTCTTCAATATGATTGAAATTAAGTACACAGTATATTTTTGTAAAATTCTGATCATCGTCGTGAGATCGTTGTATTCATTTCTTCACACTGTACTCTGTTACAAAGTACCGTACTAATTAATTTTCATGACCATGATCCTTAGGTGCCTAGAAATGTCACTCTAGAAATTTTACAAACACTTTCAAAAGGGCAATTCTTAAAAAGGGGGGTTCGTTTGAACCTCTCGAACCCCCATGGCTACGGGCCTGGGAATAATCCAGTGAATAGCAATGAGGTAATGGATTTTTGTTTTTAATTTCAAAAATGATAATCGGTATTGATATTTGCAAAATAATTTAGATATCCAAAATGACAGTACTAACACCGAAACAATAACATTTGAAAAACAAAGTAGATGAAAAAGTTCGATGAAATTTAAGGGAAAACCACGACAAAAACTGCATGTAGTAATATGAATATTCATATTCGTAAAAATAAATACAGCAGTAGGCCTATCTATAGAAATAAAAATTGCCACTGAATATTTATAAAAACCGAAAGGTCCGCTGATTAATCGCAGAACATTATACATACTCCAAGTATTAACATAGGCTACAATTCGACATTAATTAGGCCTATGTCATCATCGGTAGCAGGCTGGTTTCCCCCGGACATTTTGTCCCAGTGTCATTTTCGACAGAATGATTTCTCCCCACTTTTGCCACGCACCCCTTGACATCTTCTCATATTTAATTTCAATACATTTTATTTTTATTATTTATTTTTTTATACAATAGTATAGAAATAAAAATTGCCACTGAATATTTATAGAAACCGAAAGGTCCGCTGATTAAACTCAGAACAGTATACTGTACATAACTCCAAGTATTAAATAAGCTACACGACATCGTGTTGGGATTCAATTTGACAATAATTATGTCCGCTCATCATCGGGAGCAGGCTGGTTTCCCCCGGACATTTTGCCCAGTGTCATTTTCGACAGAACGATTTCTCCCGGACTTTTGCCACCCACCCCTTTACATCTTCTCATATTTAATTTCAATTATACATTTTATTTTATAATACATGTACATATTAATTTTTTTCATTTTATTGTCATCCACGTATCATAGACATTAATATTCCAACATGGTTAGTGAAGCTTAGGCATTGCTCATAATATCTCCTTTTAGATAACTAATAACTTACAAGAAAATCTTACTGACGTCGTGTGTTCGTCTTCTGTTTACTCAAAACATTCTACTTCAACAATAATATTAAACAACAATAACAACAATAAATTAATAATATTTACTTTAATAATACTAGTCATAATAACGATAATAAAGGTGATAACAACAATTAGTAATATTTATTTTAACAATACTAATAGTAATAATACTAATTGGTAATAATAATGATATTTAAATATCTATTTTAATAATACTAATTAGTGATAACGATATTGAAGTTGATAATAGCAATAATAACAACAATAATAAATTAAAGATTTTTTTTAAATAATAATAATACTAATTAATAATAATAATGATGATACTTATAATACTAGGCCTACTTTAGTAATAATAGGGTAATAATATCGATAATAAAGGTAACAACAACAATAATATTAATAATAATAATAATAATAATAATATGAGAAAAATACCAATAAAACATCAATAACAATAATTTTTAAAATACTTTATTAAAATAATAATACTAAGACTAATATATAATATGAATAATATGAATAATAATAATAATAATAATAATAATAAAATCAAGAATTATTTATTATTTATATGGTAACAATAATAATA